TAGAATCATGAAGCAAGAGAATCAAAGGGAACTTTAGCCATCAGTGATGTATTAAATTTTTTAAGAAGAATGTATTTCCTCAATAATGAAAAAGTGTTGGGAAAAGGAATAAATAGATAAGAAAGTACTTTTAGAATAGAACAATTCTCATCTGAAACACACTCTCCCACGGTAAGATTTATTTTTAATATACATTGAAAACTGATTTATTATGTTTCCCTCATTTATCTGTCAAATTAAGAACACATCTGTAACATAAGCAAAGACATTTTCCTTATGTATTCTTCATATTATTTTAGAGAAATACTTGGCATAGTGGTAGCTATTTCTTTATTCTCATTATAGAAAATAAAAATATTTAATATTAATCTCTTTATGAGACACCCGAGTACAAAACTTTCATTAATTGTGAGCTTATCTACAGTACCTTGAAAGAAGGCCATGAACTTCTGTTTACACTCAAACCTAGTGACAATTTTCCTAGAGTCACAGAGCTTGTCTTAATCCTAGCAGCAAACTGGTTAACTTTTCTGCTTAAACACACAATGGAACTATGATTTTTTATGAAACTTCCAAGATGTTTCAGCCTTTTCTTTCTGTTTTAACGTCTCCCCGAAATACTGATTACTTCAATAACTTTTGATTACAGTACAGTAAGCTACAAATTGGAATCCTGCCAGGATGAGAAAACAAAGAGCGTTTTCCCCCCCGCTTCCTCTCCCTGCTTAGGAATCACCTTTCATGAGAACCTGACCTTTATTCCCGCCACCATGCTCTGATGTAGTCAAAGAAAAGTATGAAGGACAAAAATCTCTTAAAATGTAATAAACGAACTCTCTCTGCAGACAGCATTGACTTAATAACAATGGCTGTATTTTAGCATTTTGTAATCAAGTGACATTCTTGTTAAAGCATTTCCCTCCTCACTCCAGCTTTTTTTGCATTTGTACTTGTTTAAACAGTATTATTGAGGTATATTTTACATATCATAAAGCCCACCTATTTCTACAATTCAGTGACTTTTAGTAACTTTACCAAGTGATATTACCATTTAAGACAAGGACAAATAAGAAATTGTTAAGTAGAAGATTTGGAGAAAGATTTTGTGGGCTCTGTGTATTTTCCACACAGGCACATTTATTCTTTAATTTAAAATATATGAACTGGCCAATAACTTGTTCTGGCAAGTAACTGCAAATGAAAATAGCTTCATATTTCATTTTTGAAATAAAAATATGATTACATTGTATTATACATTTAACATGATTTGGTTACTTCAAAGATATATAAAGGATTTAAAATTTACTTTTAATTATCTCCAATCATCTTTTGATAATTTGTCTCACAAGGAGGTAAATCAAATTAAAAAGTAAACATCTCTTCACAGATACAGTAGATCTATGGATAGAGACAGGAAGTTGAAAAAGTTTCTGTGTGATAGAGGTGGCCAGGTTAAACACGGATAATGTTGTTGTATCTAGACCTTTAAGGTTGTCTGGCTCTACTTTTAGAAACTAGAAAGTTGGGCTGGACATGGTGGTTCATGCCTGTAATCCCAGCACTTTGAGAGGCCAAGGTGGGTGGATTGGTGAATCGCTTGAGCTCAGGAAGTCAAGGCTGCAGTGAGCTGAGTCTGCACCATTGTACTCTAGCCTGGGCAATAGAGTGAAAGCCTGTCTTAAAAAACAAACTAGAAAAAATATAAGAAATTTATAAATATAGGTATGGATTTGTTTTAACTGGGGATAACATATGACAACCAGAAGAACATATAGTTGCTACAGCAATGGCTAGCTGTGCCTTCTCTCCATAATCTCACTTCTTGATTTGTATCTCAGAAATACTGATTCATTCTTCAAAAGGAGGATCTTGTTAACTTTGGAAGCAGGAAACTTATTTTCATTTTCTGATTGGAAGAATAAAAATTACATAAACAACGAACATCTGAATTTTTCTTTTCACTATTTTACTTAAGGCATTTTTGACATAATTCTTTACAGGGTAATTTGGCAAAATAACATTGACACTAGCTCTTGTCACCTAGCCACTTGACTATGATTTTTAAACTAGAGAAGAAAACTGTAAAGAGGACTACTATATCTGTGCCTCTTATTCTTTTCCAATTGTTCCTTATTGGCCAAGGCTAATTCTTCTATTGCTTATGACCTTCCCTCTCTGCCGTGCAGAAGGTGCACCGCCCACCACTGTTTGTTCACAGAAGCTATAATGTGAAAAGTGTCCTTGTGGTTGTACAGCACCCAAGCTGCCTTACAGAAGATACGGCCACCTGGTCTCTGGATTCTCTCCTGGAGGTCCTTGTTCTATTACCTCCTGACTTGCAACATCAGCTTCTCCTCTCCACTGGCTCTGCCCCTTAAGCATCTAAACCTGCCAACATTTGATTCATTAAAATATTTTAAAAACCCAATAAACATTGAAACACAAGAAACACTGAAAAACTCCAACCCTTTCTAGACCAAGCCCCCCTATAAGCAGTAGTCTATTTTCTCCCACACCTTCAAGGGACAAAGACTTGTCCACACCTGCCTGTTCTCAGTAACTGAAAATGACTTCACGAAGGCTCTTACTTGCACTGAATTGCTCCAAAGGCCTGCTTGTTGGTCTCCCAGCACCTCTTACTATTTCCATTCATCTTTCCTTGTTCCTTACCTTTCCATGGTTGTCATAGGATCTTTGATAAGATACAAATCTATTTATATCATTTTTCTACTTATATTCCTAGAATTACTCCCTATCATTTTCAAGAGAAAATCCAAATATGGGATATGGTTTTTCACGACCTGACCTATTTAGCTTAGTCTCTTAATTCACCTTTACCTTCCCCTACATTCTATACTGTAAACTGCAGATGTCCTGAATCCACTGCCACACTTGCAGCTCTCTCCCAAATTGTCCTCACTGCCCTGAATGTCCTCACACTTGTTGCTTTTTCTTCCAGGGGCACCCTTGTTCCTATTTCCCTGCCTGATAAACTCTTAACTGTTTTGTATTGTATTTGAATTGTATTTTATGTTTCTATGTATTGTGAATTGTATTTTATGTTTCTCAAGAGAAGCGCCTGAATCTTATTTATGATTTCAGTGTCTGGTACATAATAGGCACGTAGCAAATATGTCTTTAAGGCAAATTATTGAATTTTTATTCATTCATCTTCTATCTCCCCAAGTGGGAGATTCACATCTTTTCAGTAAATGCCACATAACTAGATTTCAATAAAGATTAACATCTGTTGAAGGAACCAACCAATTGCCTCCAAACTCTACCTCTTCCAATCTGTGCTGCACACTGATGGAAGGTTACCTTTCCTAATATACTAACTCCCCATGGTATCTGTCACCTCCCCTAACCAGCTCAAACTTTCATTGGCTTCGTGTTATCTCTAGGATAAAATCAAGGTTCTCCTATTTCGATTCTTTTGCATTTGCTATAATCTCTGCCTGGAATGCTCTTTCCTTGATTTTTACAGACTTTCTCCCCCTCCTTTTGTCTCAGAACAAACTTTCTCTGACTACTCAAACTAAAATGATCTTTGTGTCAGTCTATTAAACTGTTATAATTTCTTAATACCTTCCATTTATTAGAACTGAAGTCATCTTCCTCACAGTCTTTTTTTCTATCATGTCTCTCTGTTGCTCTCCTCATTAGAATCTACGGTTCCTTAACACAGGGGCCTGGTTGGTTTTGTTCATTGCTCTGCATCTCCAGTCTTAAAGCAGTTCCTAGAACCAGAGGTTAACCACCCAAACATTTGTTCAACGAATGAAAGAATGAAAAAATACTTGAACCAGGCATTCAAGGTCCCCTATGACCTGGCCTCACTCCGCCTTTCCAGCCTTATCTCCAACTACTTCCAGTTACAATTTGCAAAATACCTGTTATACCTCCTAAATAAGCATATCTACAATACTCTTGTCTTATTTCTCTTCCTATCTAAATTATCTTCACCATCTTCATCATCTAAATTATCTTCATCAGATCCAGCTCAAATGCTATGTCTTCTATAAGGCAATACAAAGTGGCAAGCTCCTTAACTACATTATATCTCTGTTTAATAACTTCTTTCAACTTCCTGGAGTATTTTTATTTTAAAAATAGGTTATAAGTTATAATGGAAGATATTATTAAAATGAAAATTATATAATTTCTGGAATTATGGTAATTCTAGTAGTAAATAAAATTCAAGCTACTAGTAAATAAAATTCAAGCCCAAATTTACCTATTTTAAGAAAATTGTGGCCTGGCGCAGCGACTCATGCCTGTAATCCCAGCACTTTGGGAGGCCGAGGTAGGGGTATCATTTGAGGTCAAGAGTTCGAGACCAGCCTGACCAACAAGGTGAAACCCCATCTCTACTAAAAATACAAAAAAAAATTACCTAGGCGTGGTGGCACATACCTGTAGTCCTAGCTACTCTGGAGACTGAGGCAGGAGAATTGCTTGAATCTGGGAGGCAGAGGTTGCAGTGAGCCGAGATTGCACCACTGCACTCCAGCCTGGGCAACAGAGTGAGACTCTGTCTCAAAAAACATTGCAGGTTTTTTTCTTCAAGTATACCAGAGAAGTCTGCTTTCAGTTATAATGTGCAACATGCTGGTTAAAAAGCAACATTCAAAATTAGTCTGTGAGAGTTGGTTCCAGTGACAACTTTGATTTCCATTTTAAATTGCAGATAATATTTTCCACTGAACATACTATGAGAAAGCATCCAAAGATAACAATTCAACTTTAACTCTGAGCCTAACATAACTTCTGTTGATTAAATCACTTGTTTCAATCTGGAAAACAAAACAACTAGAATGCTTCTGTGATAAGAACTGTTAGAAAATTCTCAAAACATAGAGTGAATTTTAAATATCTTTACTGATCTATATCCTATAAACTCCAGTGGTAGATCAATGCAGAAATACCTACATATGTGGGCCTAAACATAAGAGCGGATAGTGCAATATGGATTATGTAGATAAAGAAAACGTGCCAACCTGGGTACCAGCTTGGCACTACTAGCATCCTCTGCTGAATTCATGTCTTCCAAGCAGGATTTTCTACGGCTTAGCCACAAGCTGAGCTGAGGAATGCCATCAGATAGCTCTGGTTGCAGTACTCTGTGGGTCTGAATAGATCCCTCACTCCTGGACTTTGGGATCTAAAAGGAAAAAAAAAAAAAGAGGGATGGTAGAGAGCTAGATAAATGTTAAAGTCTTTCAAATTAAGTTTTTGGAAAAAGACAATTTATTCTAATTTTGCAATAATCCAATTTATAACACCCCAGAAAAACATCAAGCTAAAAATGAAATTTAAACTACATATAAAAATGATATAGCAAAGGGCACAGGGAAGGGGAGATACAAATATTTCCAAGGAGAACATTCAAATCTTATATACCCCATACCCTACTGAGAAGATTTCTATTCTGACAGAAATCTTCCCCAGGCCCACCCCTCCTTAGAATAATCATTCTATGTAATGAGAAATGATATGGGAGTATGTCAGACTGGCAACTTGGATTGAAGGAAATAAAAAATAGTTGGAAAGAGGTGGGGAAAAAAAGAGCTAAGAACCACTGGAATAAAGGATGCCAGTGTCTGAAAGGTATTCAGAAATATTTACTACCAAAAAGCAACACACGAATTTGCTGATGGTTTCTATTGTAGCCCTCTTTTGTAGGGAAAGTAAGATCTAACAAACTTTTGATTAAGGTAATAAATAGGAAAAACACAAGCTTTTTAGTTTTCTTTTATCTCTGAATGCATGGGCAACACATGTCTCAAATGAATCCTGGGGGTACTGACTTCTCAGACTGTATCTGAAGTTATGTTCCCTCTAGCCCCCCAAATACCCTCACGTTCTCTTATTTTAGATCAGAATGAGTATCAATACAATCAATATTGTTTTCCTTTAAAATGTAAAAAACATTATGCCAGAATTGTAGGAAAAATTAGAAACCTTGGATCAATTGTATTTGGTACACTGGAAGCTTTTTCTTGTGTCTAGGATTTTTCCCATGCTTGTCCTTACATCTGGAATGTCATGTGCTCATCATAAGTCACTCAACTGCCTCAAACCAAATGAATCCTAACTTCCTTTGAGGCTGAGATAACTCCAGTGGAGTTTCTCTAACAAGCTTCAGGTCTTTTTTTTTCTTGAGACATAGTCTCGCTCTGTCACCCAGGCTGGAGTAGTGCAGTGGTGTGATCTTGATTCACTGCAACCTCCACCTCCCGGGTTCAAGCGATTCTCCTTCCTCGGCCTCCTGAGTAGGTGGGATTACAGGCGTGCACCACCAAGCCAGTGTAATTTTTGTATTTTTTGTAGGGATGTGGTTTCACCATGTTGGCCTGGCTGGTCTCAAACTTCTGACCTCAAGTCATCTGCCCACCTTGGCCTCCCAAAGTGCTGGGATTACAGGCTTGAGCCACAGTGCCTGGACTTAACTTCAGGTCTTAATGACCTTTCCCAGCTCTGAATTTCCATAACACACTACCACGTAGTCTACCCTTGATTACACATTGCCTGATACTTTAATCTGAGTTTTTTCATGTTTCTAGGTCATATGGTCTCAATGGGTTCTTTGCAGACTGAGATTATAGTCTCCTCCTATTTTTTATCTTTCTCTCTCCTTCCTTTTATTCTTCTTGTTAACATTTTTACCATAAAGTCTAGCAAAGTTTTGGATCTATTAATAAATACTTATATTGTGAGACAATCCACTAGTCAACCACAAGGTATTCTTAAGACATTGACTATCCTGGAGGATAGTCAGTAAAACAGATAGTTTTTAAAATAATATGGGAATAATTATGAACATAAATATGGAATTTATGCCTCTATGAAGATTATATAAAACAATATATGAAGAAATATGTACAATTATGACTTGTTAATTAAAAATAACATTAATTTACAAAACCAAACAACACACACAAAATATATGAGCATAATTTGGTAAAGAGATATATTTAGGATAGAGCAAAGTGAACACTCAATAAAAGCTAGTTTTTATTATTATTGTTGTTACATAAAATTTGCCCAAATCTGGTGGCTGCTAATTAATTTTTCATGACATTTCTTTGTAGAGCATTTTTAAGTTCATAAAATCATGAAAGCAAGGAAAAATTTTTAAAAAATTATAAACTTACAAAAACACTTCTGTAGTCCATATTTGCCAAGATTGACTTTTTTATTGACAAAAATTATATATATTCATCCTATACAACATGTTGTTCTGAAATATGTATACACTGTGGAACAGCTAAACAGATAATTAACATACGCATTACCTCACATACATTTTTTGTGGTGAGAAAACTTAAAATCTACTCTCTTAGCAATTTTCAAGAATACCAAGAATACTTTTTTAAAAAAAACATTAATAGAAAGAACATGGAAGTAAAAATATATGCTATTATATATTTCATTCAGGAGTTCCTTTTGATGTGATTATTTTTCAAAAGAGTAGACATGAAAAATCAATACAAACACTGAAAATGCAGTAAGATTTCAAACTAATTAGCCAAAAAAATCTCACATTTAGACTTAATTCCCTGCCCATATTAAAGCAAGCACAAGGACAGTTGTTTCACAACATTTCATGGTGTTAAAATAAGGAGACTGTGATGGTTAACAATGAGTGTCAACTTGATTGAAGGATGCTAAGTATTGTTCCTAGGTGTGCCTGTGAGGGTGTTACCAAAAGAGATTAGCATTTGAGTCAGTGGACTGGGAGGAGCAGACCCACCCTCAGTCTGGGTGGGCACCATCTAGTCAGCTGCCAGCTCAGCTAGGATAAAAGCAGGCAGAGGAACGTGGAAGGACTAGACTGGCTGAGACTTCTAGCCTCCATCTTTCTCCTGTGCTGGATGCTTCCTGCCCTTGAACATCAGACTCCGGGTTCTTTGGCTTTTGGACTCTTGGACTTACACCAGTAGTTTGTCAGGGGCTTTCAGACCTTCAGCCACAGACTGAAGGCTGCACTGTCGGCTTCCCTACTTTTGAGGTTTTGGGACTCAGACTGGCTTCCTGGCTCCTTAGCTTGCAGACAGCCTATTGTGGGACTTCACCTTGTGATCATGTGAGTTAATTCTCCTAATAAACTCCTTTTCATATAAACATCTATCCTGTTAGTTTTGTCCCTCTAGTGAACCCTGACTAACATAAAAGCAAACTCCATGCTTTCATGAAACATATTCTAATCGAGGGGAAGACAGACAAGAAGTGGGCCCAGGAGGCCATTTAGACCCACCTTATCTCAGCAAGAGTTGCTACTGGCTCCATGAGGCTCAGGCAAGCCCTGCTGGTCAGGGACTCCAAATCGAGCCAACAGCCTTACTGTAATAAATAGAGTGAATGTGCTGGAGAGACGTACCTGCAGCCTCTCTCATAACATATGGCTGAAGCAGGAAAATGGCCAAGGGTTGGGGATACAGACTGGGGAGACCAGCTTTCTCTTTCCACTGCAGTTATAACTGACATCCACTAGTTCACACCACACTTTGCTTCTTTCTTTTAGTCATTTCTTCATTTATTTGATCATTTAGTAACTTTTGTATGTGAAGGTAAAAACTGTAAAACCCCCCAAACCACCTATGATGAACACTTTGCTCATAAGAATTCTGCCACTGGCTATTTGAGATAAAGATCTCGGTATATGCTGTGTGATTTATGTGTACAACTAAAATACAAACAATTCCAGGAATCTCAAAAAGAGTACATTCCATGCATGTATCTGCAGGTGTGCAGTAGCTCTAATTGTGGCATTTTTAAGGTACTTTAGTATTTAACATGCCATGGGAATAAAAACAAAGGAATGTTCTTTGAGACAGTAAAATTAGAAAACATTCTCTTAAATCCTGGTGCTGCTGCTGTTATAATTAATATTTACTGAGCACTTATTCTATGCCAGGCATGGTTCCAAGAGATTTACATAAACCAACCCATTTAATTCTCACAACCACCCAAGGAGTCAAGAGCTGTTATTATTATCATTTGAAAGATGAGGAAGCTGAGGCACAAAAAAATTTCATTTGTTCCAGTGAGTAAGTGGCAGAGTTACCATCAGAATCCAGATAGGCCTTAGTACCTGTGCTTAACCACTAGTCTATATACTTGGTTATATGTTAAATGTTGGAATTGCAAGAATAAATGGCATTTTAAATGAAAGTCATATTACCTACCATAATGCAACCATTTTCTTTTTGGGTATTAGAAGTTAAAATTTTCTTTTCTTTCAATTTATTTCTCTGGCACCTGTTGAAGCATTCTAGAAACATAGCCTTAAGAAAAAAAAAATTGAATTTGAGGACAAAACTAGATGGAAGATATGTTCATCATATTTTATTTACAATAGAATGAAAATGTAAGCATTCTAAATAACCAAATTACTATCATATGTAAATTATGGCATATCCACATGATAAAGGATTACTCAGCCATTAAAATACTTACAAAGTTTCAAATAAGATAGTAAAGTACTTTTTATGGGATATAGTATAAGCTAGTTTAGCAAATAAAAATGGAAAGGGGGGGTAGATATATACCTCCAATAAAACTAGGGTCATCATACTTAAAATACACAGTAATTTGTTTTGAAAGTAAAAAAACAAATCGTCACAGTCAACACTAAAAATATTTTAAGATGGTCTAATCTTTAAAAATTGTATAAAGAACCCATCATCAAAAAAAAATTATGTGATACCAGGCACTAAATTACCCTGATAAATTAATGTGACTGAAAATAAAAAAGACATTAAAATATCATACCTCAATCTTAATTTTGATACATTGCCCTCATATAACTGTGATGATACAATAGTAAGCTGTGAACATAGGCTCTCTGTTCTGTGGGAGAGTGTACAGTACGAATTATCTGTCATGCTAAGTGGATATGAAGCAGGAGGGATTTTGTTTACTAGACAGCTTCTTTTCCTTTGTGGAGGAGTAGAAGGTTTCTCCACTTAAAAGTTTCTTCCCAGAAAAGTAATGTGCTTGTGAGTCAACAGGACGAAAATTAAAAATAATAATTTAGTAAGCTATTATGAGGCAGTATTGTAAGTAAGTAATTTTTAAAAGCTTAAGCATAACAAACTGATATTTTAGTCTAAGGAGTCACCCTAAGCACTGTTCAGTTGCTGTGCTTGCATTTTGAAA